AAACACATCATACGGACACCCCAGAAGTTACTAACCCAAAGAAATTACCGTTTTATATAGAAAACTAAGTATGCGCTGTAGTTTCTTTTACATAACAAATTGCTTGCTTCCCATCAAGTCATTATCTCATTTTTCATTTTAAACAAACTCTCATGTCATACCATATTGGCCAGGGCATTGCCAAAAGGTTTAGTATTTTAACAAAAGTAAAATCAAAAAGAATGTGTGAAATGAAATATTTTCGCAGCGTTGCAGATATATTTTATTGATGTAATTATTTGCTTGCCTTTTAGCACTTTTGACAATGTCCTGGCACTTAAATTTTCCACAGCTAGTTTTCAGTCTACTTGCGCATACTTAAGCACACACACATACACAGATATGCAATGCTTGCACTTATTTGCCTATAAAGATCTTCACTGAAATCCTACCTTCAATATTCTAACAAATTTTCCTTTCAATAAAAAAAAAATTAAATCACCGCACAGGTTTGAGAAATTGGATATAACGCCAAAGAGCGCGCAGAAAATCAAGCCAGTTTTAGAACGCTGGATGAAGGAGGCCGAAGAGAGGTGAGAGTATGGAAGAAGTTCCACACGACGGCGATCTCAAGCGTGAACTCGATTTTAACTAACAGCTGATTTTTTTTTATTATTTTTTCTGCCATGTTTTTCACTGTTGCTCTTCACAATTCCAACGTTGACAGCCACTGGAATCGTTATAAATCTGGACAGAACCACTTAACCGATTACATAGGCGTGGAGCCATCGAAGAAGCGCAAGCGCCGCACGTCATTTACGCCACAGGCTTTGGAGCTGCTAAATGCGCATTTCGAGCGCAATACCCATCCATCGGGTGAGTGGTAATTTCGAAAATTTTATATTTTTTTCACACTTTACCAAGCGGAACAAGCGAGTTGCTGATGATGGAAATTTTTCTCATTTCTTCTTTTAGGCACCGAAATAACCGGCTTGGCGCACCAATTGGGTTATGAACGCGAAGTGATACGCATTTGGTTTTGTAATAAGCGGCAAGCGTTGAAAAATACAGTGCGAATGATGTCCAAGGGAATGGTGTAAGGGATGTGACAGACGAGAAGATTGCTCGCAGAAAGAAGCGCAAAGTGAAGAGAAAAGGACAAATTCTATTAGAGGTCCACGAAGGAACAGCAAGATGCAGTCGGGCAAAGAGACGCTTTTAAGGAGAGTTGATTAAAATTTACGAAGGCTGAGGGCCATGGCTCTCTGGAAATTATGTATTCAGAGATTAGATTTGCGGGTCTATTAAAAAAACAAAAACAAAAACTGTTTCCACAAAAGACATTTAATTTTTTATGTAGCTCACTTTCATCAAACTCTGAATTACTTCAGCAGGATGCGAGTAATCATTATTTTGTATTTATTAGTTTGTAAAAAAACATTTAACTTTTAAGCACAGCAAAACACAATAAATACTCCATGGCTTGCTATTGATTTCTATAACAACTACTATGTATACAAATTTAGATACATATTTGTACAAAAAAAAATCGGTCATTAATTCAAATTGCATAGGTGTGTATGTATGTACATACATGTAGTCATACATATGTTTATGTGCTACTTATAAAGTTATAGCAAGCAGTTTTTCTATGTCTTTAAGTAAATTACGTTTATCCCAATACGAAAAAATAGAGTTTCATGCTTTACTCTCTAGGATCATTGATGAAATTTTTCATGTAAGTATAAAATAAATGCAAAACATTTAATGGAATAGGCTGAGAGCTATAAATTGTAAGTTGTATTTGTACATATTGTATTGTGTGCGTATAGCAAATGTGATAGCCACAATAGAATTATTTAAATCCAAAAAAAAAATATTAATTAAGAATTAACAAAAATTCAATCAAGTGTAAATAGGAGAAAGCTATAGTTTAAAAGTAGAAAAAGAAGAAAACAAATTTATATACGATACATAAGTTTTGTTTGCTAGAATAGGAGGATGTAAGGTTTTCGAAAACAAAATTTGATAATTTAAATTTTTTTTTTGTAAAAAAATTCGAATTGCATTTACAGATGCAATCAACTAATTAGCAACGAAATTCAAATTATAATTCAAATTTAATAATTTTCAATTCTCTAACAGCTTGCGCAAATCGCAAAAAAAACCAATCAAACTTTTTTCTTATAACGGGTGATTTTTTAAGAGCTTGATAACTTTTTTTTT